CCTAATCTTAATTCTATACATTAATATAAATGCAAAATTAAGATACGAGACACAAACATCTGCTCCTAGTCCCCTCCATGGGGTTCACGCATCAAATTATCTCGCAACTTGTGCCAATATCTTATTTTTACTACTGGACTCTTGAAAGTACATGGGAAATGTAAAGACTCGACTGACAGGAAATTAAGGTTGGAGGGGAAAGCCATGCAACATATAATGAGTCATGTCGGGTGAAGGAGCTAAGCAACACTTACAAGTAGAGGTTTAGTAAAAATCATTACATGCTCCCCTTTTTATGGTATCTGTGCATGCGCATATAGAAACAACCCCCCACAGAAGAACGCTCAAACACACTACCATGCATATCAAGAATACAGACAAAAAAAAAAGATGTTTGGCTAGGGCAATCAAACCAATAAAGAACAATAGCCGGACATAAAAAATACTACATAACATCCTAGATCTTAGCCTAACACATCACCTAAGTTAAAGTCTCGGAATACCATATGACTTTGATGGGGTCGCTACACCGCCCCCGTCACAGAAGAGTGGGTGACATTTTAAAATAAATGACTTCACATATGACCTAACTTAATAGTTTTAAAAGTAGACATCCATAATTTATATTTTTAAAATAATAGACCTATAATGTTAGTCCGCGATGCATATGCCGAAAGATCCATTTTAAAATAAATCCTAATAGAATTTGCTAAACAACATCACAATATCCAAACTAAATTCTTGCACGACTATCAGACATAACGTAGAAATGGAGCGTGCTGAATTTGTCAAGCTTAACATTACCCTTTTAGCGCGTTCATCTTTACCGATCTGCTGGGGAGCGCCTAACTCATCGCCTCGTATTGACCGACATTCCTTTGGAATGGGAACAGGAATGAAGGACTTTTAGTCCCACATCGGCAAAGTTTAAAAGGACGTTATAGAGTGTCGAGTATACAAGGGAATTTTTTAGGAAGGAGTAAAATTGCCTTAAACTAATGAGTAAGGAAAACAAAGCGGGTGGTGGGAACTGCCTGCCGCGCTAAGTATTTGCTCGCGCAAAGAATATTTGGAGGGGTCAAAGGCTGGCCGAGTGATGACGCTGCTTACTTTGCAGAACTCTCTCGAGCGGGCCTCCCGCCCACAAAGCTCATTAAGTAAATTTAAAATTAAATTTAAAATTTATATTGTAAGGTAGTGATAATTAAAGTTTGTTAAGTGCCAAAAAAAAAAAAAAAAAAAAATTTTAGAGTACACCGTCAATAGTGATATATATAAATATTTTTATATCATCAAATAAATAAATAAAAGCTCCAACAAGTTTTCATTAATCTCAGTTGGGGGGTGTAAATGAGCCGAACATGTGCGAGCTCAGGCTTGCTTGTGTTCGGCTCGTTTATATTTCGAGTTCAAAAAATTTGTTCGTGTTTGACTCGTTTGCTTAGTGAGCCGAACACGAGCAATTTACGAACAAATAGTCTTTTTGACAACCTTAATCACGTAGCTATAAGATATTAATGATTGAGGTAAGATTTAGAACATCATTTGAATCTAATTTAATAATTATTCTATTTTCTTAATTAATACTTTTAATTGATTATAAATCTTTTAGCCTTGTAGTCAATTAAATTTTTTAAAAATACAAGCTGTTCGCGAATAAGCCGAACACGAGCTGTTCGCGAACAACGAACCGTTTTTATAGCCCTAATCTCAGTAAACTTTATAAAATAAATAATATATAACAATTACGGTACAATCTTTAATTTAATGATTATATATCATAGTAATTGCTAAAAATAATATACATAAAATAGTAATATATCTAAGTTTAGATAATAATAGTGATTAATAGGCTTCACTTGCATTAATATGAAATAAAGGGAGCAACAACACTTCAATCACTACTTGACATCTAATGAGATTTGGAAGCAAAAAAGTGAATATATATTTATCAAAAAAGCATCGTATGAAAAGTGAGATTTATTTTGAAGTGAATTAAAATAATATCTTAAATGTATCACCTATTATATTTGTCAAATACAATCTCTCCACTAATCAAATTTTGATTTAGAGAGTAAATATATCAAATAAAAATTGTTTGGTGGGAGTTTGGGGTGTCTATACTCAAAAATGATTTGCATAGATCTTAAGGTAATCTGAAGTCTGTTCCCGTCGAATCAACTACCCTCAGCCAACTGACAAAGAACTCCCCCCACCCTCCCCACACGACGGAGGACCCATACCCGACAAAAGACTTGGAGGGAAGACTTTTTAGTAGAGACATAAATATAAAAGATTAAATCATCTCATCTCACACTACTCTTTTAAAGCAATGATAATATTGTAATTTATTTTTTAGCCCTCTTATCATCTATGAACAGGAGGATCCTTTTATATAAAATGTATTTTTTTTAGGGGCCTCCCTCAGTTGTAAGCTCACTTTTAATGGAATAAAATGGGTCCACAAACCCGGTAACACCACGATTCGCCCCCGAGGGGTCAAGTCTTCCTCTTCATTTCTCTCTCTCCCACGTTCTTCTTCCCTCAGTCCTATTCTCTATTCCTTGGGTATGGTTCACCGGACGAATGTGAATTCAATAGTGTGCCTTTACAATGTGATGAAGATAATTTATAAACTATACATAAAATACATCTAATAAATACTATAGAAGCAATCATCATCCTCACGCCTTGTGCAATTATTGTTGGGCTTCACATTTTTTTTCTCACATATCTTATGCTTAGATCTCATTCAATTATTTCATTTTTAGTGGCTTACAACTCTCTCTTTGCCAGCTTCTTTTACGCACACCCCCTTAAAGCTTGTTGACTTCTAGGTTCCAATATGCATACATTAATTCAAGTGAAATATAAGTTAAAAATCAGGCATGTTTATAGTCAAAAGGTCTTAAAATTAGATATGTTTATAATCAAATTGAGCATCTCGATTAGAGCAATCCAGAGAGCACGAGATGATTCAATTTTGATGTCATTAAATCATATAAATTTTTGAAAAATACATATGATCAGATGAATCAATGTCGAATGTCTAATGAAGTATTTTGGGAGATTTGTTAGATTTACTAAAATGCCCCTCTTTAAATTATGAATTGACCCACATTCTTGGGGTGGGGGGAGAAGTGTCAGATAACTAATACATCATAACTTTTAAAGTCCCAACAATTGTAGTTGGTCATCTAAGATCACAACCAAGCCCCAGAGTTCGTCGCTGGCCATCAAAGATCACTATGAACTACCTGAGGTCATCACCGACCACAAGTCGTTGCCAACCACCACCAACAAAAGTTTTGACCACAAACAATTATTACACTTAACTGTGGCCCGTTATAGCCCACAACTACCAACTTCTATGCCCAACTATTAATTTTCGAGCTATCAAATACAATTTCATAGTCCAATTATAGCTTTTATTATAAAACTACAATAATCATTTTTTATAATCACAGCTTTCTTTATCCATATAAATAGTAGACACATTCCTCTTGATTATATAATGTATTATTTAAACTGAGTCAGGCTCCACAATTTCTCCTATTTTCAGGGTTCTTTCACATAAAAATTCTTGTGTCAGCTCTCATTATTATTTTTTAAATATGTGTGCTGGAACTTCGTGCAATACTAAGATATTAAATTATCACTTTAGTAATTTACTATTGTGAACCTTCTAGCAAAAAATAATAATAAAATTATGTCTAAGAATATAAAACAAGCTATTCCCTAGAGGAAACTTAATAAGCATAAGAATATTGAGATTGGGGAAGGCATTTGAAAATAATCTTTTTGTATCAAATTCATAGAAATCTTTTGTGAATGAGTTTACATATATATATATATATATATATATATATATATATGTTATAATTTGAGAATAATATGAAATTTAAATAATTAATCAGTTTTTGTATTTATTTTTTCATTAATTATGATAATTTTAAAATTAAAGAGTTTGTCTTGTGCATTAGCAAAATCAATTTTTTATATCTTTTGTTTTATGAAATTTGCATTAGACTCTTGGTGAGTTAATAATAACACATTTTTGTGATATATTTCATAATTATGATGTTAAAATATATATATTAATTTGTTATTATTTTTGAAATATGAATGGGAAAAATAAAATTATCATTTTAAAATATTAAAATTATTTGAAAATTTTTAAAGCTCATAGTATTTGTCTAACAATTTCAAACCAAATGGGATACCCTAAAAATTGTGTGCACATTTGCACACATAACCACCTAATTTTTATGTATTCACATATCTAACATTTTTGCTTTGTTTTTCACATTTCTACCTTCCAAAAATTTCATACTATTTATTTCCTAAAATGTGTATAGATTTTCATCACTCAATGCATAGGTAAGGTGGCCTATACATACAAAATTGAAGTATAGGCATTAGATATGTAAATGCATAGGAATTGACTCATATAAATATAAATATTCCAAAACAAATTTCGCACAAAATGGTATTTCGTGCAAAAAAAAAAAAAATACATATAGATGATTCATTTGTGCAAATGAGTACATTTTCAGTATACACCCAAAATACACTCAAAGCAAACCCCCATTTATATCTACATTATCCAGATGTAAGGCATATTTGGGGCAACCACAGCTTATTAAAAAAAACTGTGAAGTTACTGAAAAATAATATGATGTTAAAAAAATTGCAATGACAATTACAATTTTTTTAAAAAAAAAACCGCAGGTAGAAAGATATCACTCCAAATAGTCATAACCGATGAGAAAACACATATTTCAGTGATAAATTTTTGAAAAAACAATCAGAATGTAATTTACTCAAACATATAAAACTACGATCTAATGCCGCACCACCATCTCACTGTTGTCTCCACACATCACCTCAAGCTTAGAAAGAGAGAGAGAGAGAGAGAGACCTAAAAATTTTCAAAATACAATTGTAGTTAAATTGTCTTACATCTTGTCTTAAAATATTACTCACCAAATCAACCTAACTTAAAAAAATTGAAACAGAGGAGCCTCCTCCCACAAAACCTCCGCAGGCCCGAGCGGCAAATTGAGATCCAACACCACCTCCTTCTCCTTGTCCTCCTCCTCTTCTTCTTCCAACCCATCCCTCCGATGATACCTATGCCGCCTCATATGCCCTCCGAGCGCTTGCCCCATCAAGAACTCCAGTCCACAAACAGGACAACAATGGAGCTTCTTCCTCGCCGGCAATCTCGCCGGCGGCTCAGTCTTTCCGAAAGCCGCCGTCCCGTCTCTGATCGACCTGTTGTGACTGGTTCGGTGACCTCCCAGAGCCTGAAAGGTGGGAAATTTACGGCTGCAAGTCTTGCACTCGAACAATCTCCGGCGCCAAAGTGCGGGCTTTGTTACTCCGGTGCTGGAGCGAAGGAGGAGGAGATCCGCCATTGGAGTTTGCTTGAGAAAATGAGTGGATTTGGGATGTATATATAGGGAGGGAGAGGGGGAGACAGACGAGTAAGCTTTTTGGGGAAAGTGGACCGTGGGAAACATAGAGGAAGATTTACATATATACCAATTAATTCTCATTTATTTATATCTCCAACACCAATTTTACATATAAGCCACCCAAAACATTGCTATTTACAAATCAAACACCCTTTTTCATCCAATTTTCAAATTCTCCCTCAAATATTAAAGGTCATGATAAAACCCCAACCAATATTAATGCATCGTGGCATGCATTAATGCATCGTTTTCATAGTTCAAACAATCACCTTCGTGCATGATTTGTAAATAGCATATTTATTTATGCTTTGTATGTAATTATGCCTTATCTTTTACATCTTTAGCAAATTTCCCATGTAAGTGTATTTCACATTATGAAGTAAATAAAATGGTATTTTAATAAGAAAGGAAATATTTGGGTTGATGTGTAATTATATAGGAATTGGGTGGTATGTATGTAAATACCCCAACATAAAATAAAAGGGCATCTATATACATATAACTTAATTCTTATGTATTTATATGTCTAGTACTTCAATTTTATATTTAAATATATAACAATAAAGATTTTAACAACACATGAAAAATATTAGCATTATTAATTTCTTAGAAGTGAAATATATATATATATATATATATATATATATCTGTGTGTGTGTGAGTTTCCAGCTTGGGGTGAAAATGAGCCAAACACTAGCGAGCCCAGGCTCAGCTCGTGTTCGGATCATTTATATTTCGAGTTCAAAAAGTGTGTTCGTGTTCGACTCGTTTGCTTAGCAAGCCGAACATGAGCCGTTCACGTACAAATAGTCGTTTTGAAAACTCTAATCATGTAACCATAAGAAGTTAAGGATTAAAGCAAGATTTAAAAATTATTGTTTGAATTAAAACATCATTTGAATCTAACATTTGAATCTAATTTTTTGAATCTAATTTGATAATTTTTATTCTATTTTCTTAATTAATACTTGTAATTGATTACAAATCTTTGTAGCCTTGTAATCAATAAAATTTTAAAAAAAAACAACTCATCAATAAAACTTCGAGCCAAAACGAGCTGAACACGAAGAAACAAATCTTTGTTCATGTTCGGCTCGTTATCTTAGCAAACGAGCTGAACAGGAGTTGTTCGCAAACAACGAGCAGTTTTGACAACCTTATTTCCAACCACCCCTAAAGCAACATCTTCCTTACTGTGCCAGAGGGGATTCGAACCCCCGACCCGAGAGTTCTTATGCCATGAATGCCAACCAACAGGCTGTGGTACCCGACACACACACAGATATATATATAATATATATATATATCATTCAATGCTTTTATATTTTTAAAATTAATATCCATTTAAATTTATTTATAATAAATTAATATCATATGAATTTTAAAAGCGCATCAAATTTTAATAAGATATTTTTTGGGGGTTAAATTATCAATGATTTGGCCCTAATATGTTTAAATAAATGGATTTATTAGTTTATTTTTGGGTGAAATATTCGATATGCAGGTAATAAAAATTTAGATGATGTGTTGATATATATATATTTTTCTAAATATAATGAAAGTTTCTGTTAAAGTTGATAATCATAAGCTTGATGTTAATTTTAATATTTGATAGATAATTAAATTACAATTAAATTAGATCTATTGAGCTATTTATCAAATTGTTTCATTATTAAATTTAATAGAAATTGAATTAAAATTTTAAAATTTCAATTGATCATTAATCATTAAGTAATAATTATTGCATCTTTAAATTTTCACATTTAATAATAATAATAATAATAATAATAATAATAATAATAATAATAATAATAATATTATTATTATTATTATTATTATTATTAAGTAAAATTTTGAATATATTTATTAAGTTACATGCTCAATGCTTTTATCATAATATGTCTAGCAATACAAGTAGCATAAAATTTCTTTAACATAAAATAAGTTTTGCAAAATAATTAAATTATTATTAAATGTAAAAATTGAATTTTTTAAAATAGAATAAATTTTTATAAAATTTTAAAACTTATTTAATAAAAATAGCAACCCTAATGATATTAAATGAAATTTATTTAATTATTTTTACAAAAATAAACATAAATAACTTTTATATAAATCATAAATTATTGTCCCCAATCCACTCCACTTGTTTTCTCTTCTTTTTGCCATTTTCTTTGTTATCCATATTCTATATTATTTCATATTAATATTTATAATATTGTTATAATTGTGCATAATTTCAAGCTAAAACTCTTTTGAATCACATAAAAACACTACATTATTTTCTACATGAATTTTTAAATTATCTTGCACCGCATATATAACTTTTAAAAAAAATCATTTTAACCTAATTTAGGGCCTGTTTGGGGCAACTACAACTTATTAAAAGGTAGCTGTGAAGCTGCTGAAAAACAATATGATGTTAAAAAATTTACGGTAGCAAATACGTTTTATTTTTTGAACAAGTTAAACCTCAGCTAGAAAACAGTTAACGCACATAGCCAGAAACGGTAGGAAAACTCAGATTTCAGTGGTAGTTTTTTGAAAAAGCTGACCAAGCGCAGTTTACCCAAAACAAATAAAACTGCGATGCGGTGCCGCATCGTCTCCAGAAACAGACACCCTCAGATTACGTCGATGCCGAACTATTTATTTATTCTTTACTCTATGTTCTCTATGATTACATGCTTGAATGAAGAGAGATTGTTGAATATATTTTTCCTGCTGTAGATGCATACCTACGATAGTTATCATTTGCGTGGACTAGAAGATGGGACGTTCTATCTAACTAACATTATTTTCTACAAATAGAGCTGGCAAAACCGCTCGTTGCTCGTGAATAGCTCGTGTTCGACTTGTTAACTTGATGAGTAGTATTTCGAGCCGAAACAAGTCGAACACGAACGAACACATCTTAGTTCGTGTTCGGATCGTTAATTTATCGAATGAAATTAACGAGCCAAACACGAGCTTCTATATTAAGTGGTATTTTTAAAAAATCTAATTGACTACAAGGCTACAAAGTTTTATAACCAATTAAAATATTGATTAAGAAAATAGAATAAAAATTATTAAACTAGATTCAAATGATGTTTTAATATAAATAATAATTTTTAAATCTTGTTCAAACCCTTATTGTCTTATGACTACATGATTAGAGTTGTTAAAAAAAGACTTTTTGTTCGTGAACAGCTCGTGTTCAGCTCGTTAAACAAACACCCCTATCTACAAATGGTCATGTTAAATCAATGTAAATGCTAAAGTTTATAAGGGGTTAGAATTGTAAATAAATAAAAATTGAGCGGTATGAAAGTAAATATTTAAACTTATAATGTTATTGATCTATTTAGTTCCTCATAAATCGAATGCTTTTATGAATATAATACGGATAGTTTAGAAGCTAATCAGCGAGTTCACACTTCACGTTAGAAACTGGTTGACTCTTAATGAAGACTTATAAAGTTTTTTATTTTATTTTATAATTTCCAGCTAATTGAAAATAACGCTAAATATATATGAAGTCATAATTTTGCATGTGGGAAGTATTGTTCCCGTTCATGAGTTAACGCGTCCATATGATTTCATCGGGTCCTCACATGACGTTGACTATTTGACCGATTTTACTTCCCCC